AACATATTTTCCAGCTCCACAGAGTCAACTTCATGTTTTGCAAAGCCGAGCTGGTGAAATACTACCGGTTACATCCAAGGTGAGATTTGCCAGCAGATGTTACTCTCAAGCATCTCCCTATTTTCTGCATATCAGAAAAAAAAAGAAAAAAAAAAGAGAAGCCTAGGGGTAAGATTATGGGGTCCTGCAGCTTGAGGTGATGTAAAAGAGACAGGAGGGCATCAAAAAAAAAAAAAAATTACACAAGTGCAATACTCTTCAGCCTGGCACCCAGCGGAATAGCCTAGCTACGAAAACTACTTTCTTTTCAAAAAAACCTCTAAAGGTAAGGAGCCATCGGAATTATGAGTCAAGCTCCAAGATAAGAAATCATGCTGCTGGATGGGTGCGGCTGCCTGCTTGTTTGGTCGCTGTTGGGGTTTTTTCAAAAGATAAACATGTCTTTCAGAACATGTTTGTTGGCCAATCTTCTCTCTGCTGAAAAAAAAAAAACAAGAAGGAAGCTCACAACCGTGAAAACGATAAATGAAAGGCAGGACAGTTTCTGATGAGCTGACATCACGCTTCATGGGCCCTTTAAAGTAAGATGCAACATATCAGTATGTTGAAAAGAACAAAAGAGGAGTAAATTTAAAATTCCAAGTAATTCAGTAAAATATCATTCAGAAAAGCTATTAAGCAAACTCTGCATGAAGCAGAGCCCACTCATAGACCAGAACCTGTCAAGGAAAAGAAATAAATGTTTTATATCTATTTCAATTTTAAAGTTGTTGATATATAGGAGTATTTAAGCAGAAATTCACAGTCTGGAAGAGGCTCACTGAGCAAATGCATCCAGGAAAAAAAGTAACTTGTACATCAGAGGCAGAACTAAGGCAAATCCCTTAGGAAGGGTGTAATATTGAGCAGAGAATGTTTTGAATCCAACAGAACGATGACTTGAACACAGCCACGGTAGAAGTACAAAAGTACTGCAGGAAAGCAAACAGTGTAAAGGACCCAGAAATTTGATGGAGCAAAAGCCGCAGCAGGTCCCATTGCTCTCGCCAAATTCCCTGCTGCTCAGTGAATTGCAATAACTTGGTGACAGGCATCACTGCCTGAATCCCAGCCAGCTCAGCCCAGGACTTTGCTGCTTTCCAAACACAAGGTGTTAAGCAGCTACCACCGAGGTTATACAACAAGGTTATTTGGTAATCCCTTTGGTTCAGAAAGAATTTTGCATTGGCCATCAATGCTGCTTGGTTTTGCCTTTTCTTGTTCAAGAGCATCAGAGGGGAGGAAAAGTGACCAAGCACAAGGCAACCAATTTACTAGAATGACAGGTTTTTAACTAAGTCCTGGATATCACTGCTGCTGAACACCAATTTAAATTAAAGTGGCAAGCCCATCAATAGCCTCATCTTCCTCAGTATAGTGCCGGCAAAGAAAGGTCCCAATGCTCTCACCTGCTTTGCTATGCACACCCTGATTGAGAGCATCCCCTTTTCCCACCAAAAACAGGGCACCAAAATCCCATCTCATCAAAGCAGCTCCCCAGAAGGCTCCAGCACATGCCCTCATCTGCCATTTCGACAGGCGCCCAAAAATCCCTGTTCCAGAGCAAGTAACTCCCTCCTTGTCCAGAGAGGAGATGTTGTTTTTATTTCAGCTAGAGCACAAGGGCATACAGAACGATTTCTTGAGGGAAAAGACCTCACGATTCACCCCGGTGCCAGATACCACTTTTCTGGGTGTTGTTTTCAGAGGAGGTGAAAACACGCACGGCAAGGCGGGGGGATCCAGCTGCCAGCAGCTGGTTAGCTCATCAGGCACTTGAGCTGCCGCATCTCCAACTGCCCCAAACACCCGGAGGGACCAAGCCCGCATGTCCCACCATCGTTGCCAGCTGCATCCCCGGCAGCAGGTATTCTGGGGGCTCCCCTGGCTGCCCACTCGGCTTCCAGGCCGAGCCCCCCGAGCTCCCGCAGGGAACAGCGGGGCGGGGTGCGGGCTCTGTGCCCGCAAAGACCGTGCCTGGCTGCGGGGAAGGCGAAGCCTCCCCGAACAGTAACCGCGGCCATCCGGGCCGCTCCCGCGCTGCTCCATCAGCTGAGGTGGCTCAGTATTTTGTGAGGGTCTTTTTGTTTGTTTGTTTCGTTCTGTTTTGACCTCAGTGCAGCCCCAGGGTGGCTCAAAGGACCACCTCGGTCCCCCGGCAGAGTGTCTGCCGGGAGCACAGCCCCGCGCTCGGACCCCCCCGCAGCCCCCCGGCGCACAGCCCTGTGCATCCTGCCTCCCAAACACACAGCCGCCCCAGGCACAGCCCTGCACAGCGCCCCCGGCAACACAGCCCTCTGCAGCCCCTCCAAGCGTGCAGCCCCTCGCAGTTCCCCCCCACCCCATTCCATTTCCCGCCCCGCTCCGGGTCTCACCGCGGGCGCATCCTCCTGCCCCAGCGGCGCGCCCAGCGCCCAGCCCGGCCCGCCGCGCGCCGCCGCCGAGCCCCGGCCGACGCGCTTCTGCGCAAGCGCAGTGGAAGACACAACTGGGAAGTGCAACTGCCGGCAGCGCACGGTGTCTCGCGAGAAGAGAATATGTGCGCGCTGGTAGAAGGTAGAACCAGGGTGGGGAATTAGCTCAAATGGTAGAGCGCTCGCTTAGCATGCGAGAGGTAGCGGGATCGATGCCCGCATTCTCCAGATACTTTTTCCTGCTTTACTTTGCCAGGCCGCAGCCCTTCTCTTCCTTCACGGTACACAAATGCAATACTGGTTTTGCTTTTTTAAATTTCTATGTTCTTACTTGCTTCCTTAGCATTCCTAAAGATCATAGAATCATGCAGAATATCCAGGGTTGGAAGGCACTTACAAGGATCACTGAGCTCTGCACAGGACATCCCAGGAGTCACACCATGTGCCTGAGAGTATCATCCAAAAGCTTCTTGAACTCTGTCAGGCTTGGTGCTGTGACCACTTCCCTGGGAAGCCTGTTCCAGTGCCCAACCACCCTCTGGGTGAAGAACCTTTTTCTAATATCCAGCCCAGACCTCCCCTGACACAGCTTCAGGCCATTCCCTTGGGTCCTGTCCCTGGTCACCACAGAGAAGAGATCAGTGCCTGCCCCTCCTCTTCCCCTCACCTGGAAGTTGTAACTGCAATGAGGTCACCCCTCAATCTCCTCCAGGCTGTGAACAGACCAAGTGACCTCAGCTGCTCCTCATATGGCTGCATAGATACTGCATAGATACATGTGCCTATCCCATGCTTAAGGCAATCAGAGCGCTTTCTGTGTATTCCCCGCACTTTGAGTGGGCCTTTTGCTTTCTTATTTGATAATGGACGAGGCCAGCAGCAGGGAGCAGCTACCCACTGCCTCCAGTGCTTCCCAGCAGCTGTGGCCCCAGCCATCATCTACCTGTCCATCTCATCCAGGAGCAGGAGGCCTCAGAGATCTCCTTTTCCTGGGAGCCTCCACTAGAGCTGAAACACTCATTTGCCTTTAGTAAATTTGAGAAGGAATCAAAACTCCTCAAGGAGTCATTGACATAGGTGCCATTTAGTAAAAAAAATCAAGCTCAGTGAATTTATCCAGGTGCTAATGTCAGGAAAACACTCGATTTCTTCACATTCTGTTCCTATTCTACTGCAAAAAGCCCCAAGGAATAACCAAAGGCTTTAAAGAAAAAGAGAAGCAGTTTTTAGAAACTGAAGGTGTATCATGAAAAAACCCCAACCCCACAGGATTACACTCAGTTGGCATTTCTATCCCAGTTACTAGCTAAATGGGAAGCCAAAGGTGGAAAACAAATCTGCACACTTTCTTGGGTTACATGCATGAGGAAATGACCTTCCTGGCAAATTTCAATAACAAAGAGTGGAATTCAGCTTTCAAGCTGCTCACAGGCCCCAGCCAACACTTGAGGAAACTGCAGAATATCCCACTCCCAAGCCTTCACAGTGAATTAATTGACAATTAATTCCAATAGTCCAAAGAAGAACAGGATTGAAGAGAGGATACAATGGGTTGAACACAATGATCTTGGAGGTGTTTTCCAACCTTAATGACTCCATGATTCAAAGTGATTTTTTGGCATAAATAACCACGAATTCTCATGGGTAATCTCATGGAGATTAAAAAGAGATGTCTCCACTGGCAGAGGACATCTACAATTCCTTTCCACAAAATGACAATGGTAACACACAAACTGAAGTCCGAAAAACAAATGAGTGTATGGTTGTTGGGATTTTTTTTAGCTTGAAGATTTCATCCTTGCCTTTTAAACTCAGGCTTCTGAGTTCCATACAAACTCAGGAAATAACTAGCTGTCACTACAGTGGTCTTTAAAGCTTCAGAAAAGATTTGAGTCTTCTTATGCAGCAGGATTTAACAGGAAAGTGAAATCCATTGCAGTCTCCTATTTCATCAGCTGCTACACAGCTGGCATGAAGACACTGTGTTGTGAAGTACATTTGTGTCTGGTCTGGTCCTGTCATTTTCCCCTCTAGCTTTGGCCTCACCTCAACCCTCAACTCCTTCAGTATCTTGGTGACCACGGGCAACCTCGGGGTGATGGAAAACCACTGGACCGTAAGTCTGGTCAAACTGATGTTGCATCGCCCTCTGCAGACGGGCAGGCAACGACTGCCACAGGCTGAGGCAGAAGACACAGAAAAGCAGGGATGTGAGAAAAATTCCTCTGACCGTACTTTTTCTGCAGATCAATGCAGTCCAGTGGTTGATGAACAAATCTGGAAAGCTCCATTTTCTTGGTGCTCCATTTTCACTGGACCCACGGTGAAAGACTGTATCCAGACGGATAAAATATGACACATAGAGTCACAGCATTATTTCATTATAATGCTCCCCACTCCCCCCAAAAAACAAAACCAGCATGAAATGGAGAGACCAGCTTTTCTTTTACAAGAACAAGCCGACCACATCAGAACAGCAAAAATTTCCTCCCTAATGGTTTTCTTGTGGGAATCTATAATGAGCTGCCACAGTATGGAACATCCATATGCGTGCATGCACGCATGCGAGTCAGGGTGAGCATTTGTCTGTATTTACTGAGGAACCCAAAGCTTGCTCAGCCACCTCATAGCTCCCAGCCTATTGCTACCAGCATCTGTTTATTGACCTCTTTTTTTTTTTTTTTTTTTTTTTTTTTTTTTTGGCTCCTGAGACATCAGTTGAGCCACAGTGTCAGGTTCTCTGGCTCCACAGATGCTTTGTTCCCCAGTGCTTAATCAGCCCTCTGGCTCTTCAGGAATGACTCAGGTTTTGCATTTCTTTACCCTACAAAGCCTTACTTCAAGTTCACACGCAAGCTCAAGGAACAAATGGCTCCCAGCAACAGATCAAGAAGGAGTTAGAACAAGCCTCTCAGAGCAACAAATGGAACTGGGTGTACGCTTATAACTCGCTGTTTTGATCACCATGGCTGAATTTATGGAATGAATTTGCTTGTAAGGATGGCATAGTCAAGTTAGCAAAAGATCTGCAACTACTCTTAACAATTTTATTGTTTTTAATTACTATTAAATATATGCACAGAGGCATCTTGAGAGCAGAGAGAATGGAACAGGAAACTGCTAGAGGGGAAAAGGCAAAGCTTTCAGCTTACACTAATGGTCTTAATTTAAGTATCCTTTTGTAAGTTTGCTCTAGGGTTATGTGTGTAAATTTAGTTTTAAAAGTAAAGTCATCTTAAATGCAGAGATACATTTCGACTTCCTCAGATCCCACAGCACAAGATCTACACTTCATGGGTCCATGGCAGCCATGCACAAAAGCAGTAGGGACCAGATGGACCAACGTAAGGGGAGCACCTAAATAAAGGGGAGATAAATTTGAGTGAACTCAAAATGGACATGGACAAATGGTGATAAAGAAGGAAACACAGGGCAGATGTCCCCATCAGACTCCTCAAGGAGCCAGACCCGAGTCTGTAGAAACAATCAAATGGACATACCTTCCATGCCAGGAGTCTTCCACTGTTTCTACAGCAAGACACACGCATGTATTTCTCACTACTGTTTGCTGTTGGCTTTCTTAGCCCCATTTTGCATCGTTTCCTCTGGACTTGTGTGTACGTCAGTGAGTAGGACAGCCTGGTCCTGCTTGCTAGGGGGAGGGCAATAGATTTGTCCCAAGATGCCTCTTGTTGTCCCCACAGCGAGGGCAGCCAAAGGGATGACACAGAGATAAAAGCTGATAACATTTTGGCATGGCTATTTGGCTTGTAAATCTAATATTCCACAAGCACAGATCAGTGTGTATTGGGTGCTTTGTCCAGGGCAGGAGGTCTACAGGAGGTCCACGTGATGTAAACGTCTCTGAAACCTCTAACAAACACTGGACTTCGTCCTTTAGAGAATCCTGGCGTGTGCAGTGGAGCAAGAATCAACAGTAGAGAGATGCCAGCAGGGGCAAGATAGGAAATGAGACCTTTGCTGTTTGGCTGAATGACAGGCATCTGATTTCAAAATGCCTGATGGGCCAGGGGATGGTGCAACCTCTTGCCAGTGTTCATTCTTCCTAACACTGGTGGTCTTCCTGGGAGCATCATGCCAACACAGAAGGGTGGAGACACCCTTCACCAGCCACAGCACTCATCCATCTGCCTGCCAGGGAGCATCCTAACAAGCAGAACTCAAAAGCTTGTGCCATCCCCAACCTTGTGCCATCCCCAGATTTTTGCCTGTGGTTCAGTAGATTTCAGGTCAGACCTGAAACAGGCACAAGGACTGTTCTAGCAAACTCTTTGTGTGGACAGTCCAGTGTCTCCTGGGAGGGAATGGGAAAGAGGTGCACTCTCTAGCATTTAGCTCTCTTCTGGGCACTAAGGAAGGTGGGGTTTAGCTCGTTGAGCTCTTCTGGTGGTCGGTTCCCGTCTCCTCCAGAGGAAGGATAATAAAGGTAACTGCAGGGAAAACCTCTAGTGCTTCACCTGGGGCTCAGCAAAGGCTCTGTTTCCCAGGTTGCAGTGCCATCTCCTCTGTCAGCATCAACAGTTGCAGGAGGGAAAAAATGCAGCTGGCCCTCTGCCTCTGGCTCATTCGCAGGCTATTGAAACATTAATTCATCTTTGGACCATAAAGGATGGGGAAAGAAAGCAGGTTAGTTCAACCTGCAATTAGCATGTGATGCAGCTTGAGTGATGGCAGGGTATTCCTTGGGGAGCAGAAGACCCTGTGGGAATTTGGGAGGAGGAGGTGGAGGAATGGGTTCATGCTTGCTGCTGAGAGGCAGCAGTTTTAGGGAGGCACGACCAGGGCTGTTCCCAAGGGACCCTTCCAGGCAGTGTGAGCATCCAGCTTGTGCAGAAGCAGGGGGCTGCCTGTGCCCTAGGCCCTGCTGGGAGGTAGGATGGATGACCCCTAGGTGAGGTGACAGGTAAGCAGTAATGTGCTCAGCATCACTCCTTGGCCAGGTGGGGCAGGGCTTGCCTGGGGAATGGAGAAACTATGCAATCTCCAGCATCTCTATCCACACTTTAACAGTGTGGTGGCCTCATTTTCGGATGGATCCTTCAATGGCAACCACTTCCTTGCTCTGGGCTAAACCATGTCGAGTGGCTACATGATCCAGTGTCAGAAGTTAAAGCCACCTCTGTCCTTATCACGCTTAGTGCGATGGTTGCATCGTCACTAAGCCAGACACAATCGCAAGAGTGCTTGCTCCTTGAGCCCCTGAAAAGCTGCCACGGGAGGAAAAAAAGCGTCACAGCCCAAAACTGCTTTCCTCCCTCTAGCAGGCACCATGTGTACGACAGCAGAGGTTGCGTGGTAACGGCAGCAGGGAGGCGCCAGCTCTGCCTTCCTCGCTCCCCGGACGGCACCGAGAGCAAGGTACGTATCAGCGGCAAAATCAGACTCTGAAACTCCCTGAACTTTCCCTTCTGCTTACCGGGGGGCAACACGGAACCGTTTTAAAGCCGTCCTTTGTAGGCGGCAGCTGGTTGTGCTTAGCTGAACTGTTGTGTGAGCCAGGGGGACGGGAACAGGGTGTTTGTAGGAAGAAAAAACTCGGGGAGATGCTGAGATTTTGGGGGTGAGGGAGGGAGGGAGGCAAGTCACTATGTTGCCTAGAGCCTCTCGGCACTTCAAAACCTTTCTTTGCTCTGTCTCGTGAAAATCTGAATGAGCTTTTACTGGGGCTAAAAGTACTGGGAAACAAAAGGGAGACAGGGAGTTGCCGGCAGCCGGAGGAGGAAGCGAGCCGAGTGATGACGAATGCCTTCCAGCCCTGGCCAAGCGCTGGCACCCTTGCCCCGCCGCGGGATGTGCGGGAGAGCCGCTGGTCACTGGGGTCGGGGGGAAATCTAGGGAGGGGACAGTCTCGGCAGCGGCCGAAGTGTGGCGTGCCCATCCTCCATCGCTGTCACGGCTTCGTTCCAAACAGCTTAGAGAGAGGCCTTTGTGCCAGCGAGGTGCAGCTCGTCTGCTCGGCAACATGTTGCGCTAACGAGGGAGACAGAGAGAAAAGATGCGTCATGGGTAGGACCGGTGACAGGGATGGAGAGCGGGGACATCCCAGGCCCTCCAAGCTGGGCCCCCGTGCACAAGCTGTCTGGCAAGGTGGAAGGCAGGGACCACAGAGGAATGGATGTTTTTGTTGTTCCCAGTTCAAACAGTTCCCGGTTTCGATCTCCCTGGGGAAGTACAAGGCGGGGTCCTGTTTCCCCCAGCCAAGACCCCGCCATGGTGCCTCTCCTCTGGGTGATGGATCCCCATTGTCCTCCAGGTCTCAGCATGGGTTATAGGTTGCCCTCCGAGTCAGCTGGGACACCACCTCACTTTTACTCTCATCCTTTGTGCATCCCCTAATTATAGGGATTTCTCCTGCTCCTGTTCTCCTGTCTTGTATCCCAGTGCTCCTGCTCCGGGTGGGGGTGGGGAGATTGGGGTGGATGGGAAACAGGGGCAACAGGGGATGGGAGTAGAAGGAAAGGGAGGAAAAGAAAAGGAAAATAGGTAAGTTGGTGAGAAGAGGGGAAAGAGAGAAGAAATGGGGTAAGAGGTGGGATAGCAGAAAAAGGAGAACAGAATTGTGGAAAAGGAACAAAAGAGGGAAAGGGAAAAGAAGGGAGAAGGAGGAAAAGAAAGAGAGAAGTGAGGAGAATACAGGAAAAAGAGGGAAGGAAGGGAGGAAGGAAGGGAGGGAGGGAGAAGATGGGGAAAAGAGGGGGGAAGGGAAGAAAAAGAGGGAAGGGGGAAGCACAGGAAAGAGAAGAAAGTGAAAGGTGAGAACGGAAAAAGGAAAAAGAAGGATGTGAGGAAAACAGGAAAAAAGAGGGAAGGAAGAAGACATGAAGGAAAAATATAAAGGAGAGTGGAAGGGGGAAAGAAAGGAGGGAAAAGGGGAAAAGAAGTGGGGAAAAGGGAGGGAGAGGGAAGCAGGCAGAAGTCAGGAAAACATTAAGAAAGGGAAACACAAAAAAGGGGAAAGAGAGGAGAAACGGGAAAAAAAGGGAGAGACAGAGGAAAAGGGCGTAAAAGGGAAAAAAGGAAAAAAAAGGGGAGGGAGGAGGGACAAATCCTGCCCCTCCCCGCTGCGCTACCAGGCGGAGCCGGGAGGAGCCGGCGGCAGCTGCGCGGTGGCGGCGCGGCGGTAGGAGCTGGGGGAGCAGGGCAGGGGGGGCTGGGGCGGAGGGACGGAGAGCGGGAGGAAGGAAGGAAGGAAGGAAGGGAGGAAGGGAGGAAGGAAGGGAGGAAGGAAGGGAGGATGGTTGCGGGAGTTGAGCGCTGCCCGCGGTGCGGGAGCTGTCGGGAGGCGGCGGAGCTGCGGGCACAGGGGCCGGGCAGGGGCAGCAGCGATGGCGGGCGTGCCCGCGGGGCAGCGCCGGGCCGGGGCTCGGGGCCCCGGAACGGGATCCCCCCTCGGCTCGCAGGGAGGTGGCAGAGCTCGAGGGGGTCGGGGGAAAACCTTTTGTCGATCCGGGTTTAGGGGAAAACCAGGCAAATGCCGGGGAGGGCTCTGAGTGTCCCCTGGCGTGTCGCCGCCGGCGGGGGTTGCTCCGACCCGCATCACCCCGTGACACGTGGGCTGTGGTGCCATCCCACGGAGGCCGTGGGCCGGCATTCCCGGCAGCGCCCGCGTTGGGAAGGGCAGAGGCCGAGCACGTCCGTGAGCTCGTGATCCCGCTGGCGCCGTGTCCCGGGTCCCGCCGTGATTCCCGAGCGCAGCCCCGCGGTCGGACGCGTCTCCTCCTCACGTGGGTGAGGGGTTTGTTGCGGACGAGACCTTACGTGAGCTCTGACGCCGAGCTCGCCTCCGAGAAAAGCGAGTTTGGCATACCCGCGATGCTGTGGCAGCAGGAGGTGATGGGAGGGAAAGCGGTGGTTAACTGCAGTTCGCATTCCGATGTGATAGCTCAGGGGATTATTTCTTTTACAAACGCCCTGTAGTCTGAGTCATGTTGGCCAAACCAGGGGACCAACGCTGCATTTTGTCACCTACTGCAGCGCAGCTTCTAATCCCATCCGCTGCAAACTAAGCCTGGAGCTCAGCTACTGGCCTTGTCGTGGTTTTGTGCACATTTATCTGGAGCTGCTCTGCAAGGGGCAGTGTTTACATCAGTTCAGAAATGCAGGTTGACTGCAGAGCAAAAAAATTCCCGCTTACCAGCTTCTGGTACTTGACTTGCACCACCAGAGCAACCTTTCAAACCTTGGAATCAAGGCATGAAGGAACGCTTTTCCCATTCACCGAGGTTCCACTCCTCACATACAGACATATGACTCACAGGATTTTTAATTTGAGCCCAGGCAGTTCTCATGTTCATTTTTCTCACTGACCCTAATTCTCTCAAAATTATCCCAGTTTTAATTATAGCTTGAGGTTCCACAGTTGGTCGGTGCGCCACGCTGGTAGAGCTTGGCATCTGTGTGGCTCAGCAGTGCAATAGTGAGTAACACCAGGGCCTCTGAAAAGCTCGTTCTGGTTAAGCTCCCTTGGAGAGGGAAGGGAAGCTTCCTAGTTTCACACAAGCAGCTTTCAGATAACCGGCTGTTGCCATATCTCTCCAGGATTCCTATTTCCCTCATGGAGAACGGCCTTGACAAGCCCCAAACAATACCATTCCAACTCTGCTGGCTTATAGTGGTGCTTGCAGCAGAGTAGTGTTGGAAAAATATTATCTGTCCCCTTTGCACAATGTGACTCATAGCTGAGAGCTGAGGGGGTTGGAGAATGTTGTTGCTTCTCAGTCAATTAGAAAAAAAAGGTGGTTTTGTTTTGTTTTAATTTTCAGGTCTTATCTCAACTGTCAAAATGGAACTTGACATCCAGTGTGAGGAGATGAGCCCATCCAGATGGGCTGAACTTCTGACTACAATGAAATCCTGCAAAACCATCAGGTAGTAACCAGTTGTGTATCATCTCTTCTAAGAACTGTTGCAATTCTCTCCTGTGCTCTTCACCTTCAGAACTGTTTGACATAGGACTTAGAAATTGATCAGCAACAGTATTGATTCTACCTATTTTTATCCAGAAAGTTAAATTAATTTAAAGTTTTTCAACAACAGATAAACATTGTTTGGTATGAAGCAATGTTGCCCTGATTCCGTGGTGTGCCATAGAGCTCAGCTAGGTGATGTGATTATCTAATATTTGACCACCATTTTGGTTATTCTGCTTTTCTCCCTCAGGAAAGGGAAGACATCACCCTGTGCTCATTAGGTTGCACATTCTTTGGGCTGCAGCTTAGATGCTGTCTTAACTTTTGCTTAATAGTCACACACAAGCCACCTGCCATCGGCTTTTAATTCTTCACTTGACCTTCAGAAGTACCAACCTCCTTTGTTGAGCAGACAGCATGAGGGAACCCTCTCCTGGGGTGTAAAGTGTAGGACAGGGCCCAGAAGAGTTGCTCCTGCAGTCTTTTGCCTCTGCTGGTTGGGAATTCACACCCCACAGGCTGGTATCATCCTGCTCAGGCTGGAGAGGATGGGCCGCATCATGCCAGCAATGCCTCGGAGGACATCAGCCAGGCTGAAGGTGGCTTGCTTTTGTTTTGCAAAAGAGCTTTTGCAGGCAAGCTTCATGGGCCTGGCCTTGACTTCCCGAGGCCTGCCCTGGGTGGCAGAAGGCAGTGGGATGGTTGTCTCCTGGGCAGAGGGTGGGCTGCTCCAGATGTAGTGGATGAGAGTGGCTGCAGCATGGATTGTTCATCAGTATTGAACACAGTCTCATTGGGAATCAAGTCTTCTTGCCAGAGGGGCAGAAGGAGAAACCTAGTGGACCCTCAGTTTTCATGCTGTTGTCCAAGAAAAGTGACCAGGCAACTTTTGGCAATCCTGACTGTGGCTGGGGCTGTAGGGTTCTTCATGACACCTTCCTTTTCCCCCATGTCTTTTCTGCCTCCCTCTATGGCTCTCTGCCTGTCCTGGGCTCCTGATCCTTTCCTTGGCTCTCCTTTCAATTCAGTTAACCCACATCAATTTAGCAACAACGAGAAAAATGCTGATGTCCAGTGGGAGAAGCTGCTGCCATACTGCAAACTCACCGTTTGTGTGCCGAGATTCACGGTGGAGGGGAGATGGTGCAAACCAGCATGACTCACCTACAGGAGACCAAACTGCTTGTGGGTGTCTCTGGGGCTGGCTGAAGATCCAGCTTGGCTGTTCTCAGTGCAGAACCAGTCTGACAGCCTGTGAGCTGCCTCTGGTTAGACTCAGATGGCAGGCAGTTTGCCACTATGACTGTTTAAATGAAGGGGCATCCTACAGCTGAAGGGGAATGATTTGTGCCCTCCTCTGTGCAGCACAGAGGAGGAGTGAGGCTTGGGGAACTGCCACCCAGCCCATCCTGTACTGCAGCCCTGCAGAGCACATCTTGTTTTGGGCCATGCAACGCTCAACAGGTCACACATACTTATGGAGGCATCCCAGGAACTGCAGAGGACTAAATTGCCCACTTTGCTTTAAAAGGGAATGCTCCAGCCAGGGAGAACAGAGCAGCTCTGGGGACTAAAATGCTCCTTCTCTCTGTGTCTTTCAGGTTGGATGACTGCAATCTCTCCAGCAGTAACTGTGAGGATCTCTCTTCCATCATCAATACAAATCCATCCCTCACAGAGCTGAAGCTGAACAACAATGAACTGGGAGATGCAGGTGTTGAATACCTGTGTAAAGGGTTGCTGATGCCAAGCTGTAGCCTACAGAAGTTATGGTAAAGCCCCATGTTGTCTTGCTCTAACATGCTGTCGTGAATGAGTGTTTTAAGGTCACTTGAATCACTGGCAAAGGTATTGGCAAAAGCAGGTTTAACATAAAAGTGAAAGCACAAGAAAGTTCACTGGCAAGGTTCACTCTACTACTTACTAGATGGTTAAAGCACAAAGAGAAAAAGCAAACAAAAAGCTAAAATAAATCTAAACCAAATGTCAACCCAAAAATTATCTTCATGGAGGCTGGGGTGGGAGGAAGGATAATGGTATGGATAAAAAGGAATAAAGACTTTCCTGTTGAGTCTCAAGGTTCAGAGTAAACACCCTTGCTAACCTGAGCCCCAAACTTGACCAACAGTTTAGGCCTAAAGGTTTTAACATCACTTAAACTTAACAGCATTTAAGCGATAGTTTAAATTAAACAATTTAACAAAGTATTCATTTAGAATTTACTATAGCACAACAGTTAAATCAGGCCTAACCTACAAATCTAAAGTACTTAAGAATCTAGCAGAGCAACAATCATAGTACATTTGCTGTAGCATATTGACACCTGCACACACACAGACCTAAATAAGTAGGTCTGTCTCATGAGAGAGTGGGCTTTAGTCGTAATAATTTTTCATCCTGGTCGGTAATTTTCTTTGAAACTTTGATAAGGAAAACGTTATTCCACTTGGGTTATTCTTCAGGCAAGAAAAATAAGTTTCTAAGGCTGTTCATTAAAAAAACAGGAGCTCATTAGACAGCGTTAGTTCCTGGGAACAGACAGTGAGCTTTTTTGTAAGTTTAAGGGGACCTTAGCCCTATTTGTCAAGGCCGAGGCCCAAGGGAAGGGAGGGAATGCACCACTACATGTGCTTGCAGGCAGCTACAGGTGAAGTCATGAGGCAAACTCGTATGTGGTGGTATTAAGAGCCGTGACAATCCATTTCAGCCATTACCATGGTCAGATGGCTGGAAAACCCCAGCAGTTTGTATGTAAGTGGTATATTCATTGGAATAGTCCAGATCATCAGCCTCTCTTCATTTTCCAGCACAGAGGGAAGGACAGGTAGGGTTTTCTCAGCCACGCAAAGGCTTTCTGGGGACTTTCTTTAGAAGAGGTGCTAGGTCTTTCCACAGTCTAGGCAGCTGAATTATCTGTTTAGGCCAGCTTAAACAGAAGGATGACCACAAAGGGCCCCCACTCTGCCATTAGCACATACTTGACATTGTCACAAATGCATTTTTCAAAGGGCTCTTCTGCCAGTATTAAGCATGGTATTCAACATGTGGTCTGGTTTGCTTTCTCCTTTCTCTGGGAGCCAAGCAAAAGGGTGTTCTTATGAGCCTTGGTCTTTCAAGAGCTGTCAGCCTTTCTGCATTCTACCAGACTGGCTCAGTCTCAAGCCTTGTCTTCTCAGCTGGGCAGAGCCAGCTTGGTTTGGGACAGCATGTTTTATAGAGGCACCCCGCCACATTATAGCATTAGTGGGCTTCCATCAGCAACCCTGCTGCAGGAGCTTTAGTCAGAGCCAATGGCTGCTGCCCCTGCTCCTCAGAAGCCCTCAAAGAGATGGTTTCTCTGTCCAGCATCTCTTCTTCAGGATACTGGAGTCCTCCAGCTTGTGAAGGGGGTCTAGGACACTACCTTGTAAAAATCATTTGCCTTTTAAACCAGATATGCCTGCTTCAAAGTCTCTGTGTCCCCTGCAATGAGGACTCACAGACAAATAGAGGGAAAGTTGACTGTGAAGCTAATCAAATTGCAACTCTCTGATGGGCCTTCAAGAAATAACTGTGGTACTCTGTACTGGAAGACTTAAGTAATTTTTCAGAGAGTTTGTCCTAGGCTTCACACTTCTCCAGATGTTCAAGTAACAGCCTGGATTAGGCTTTCTCAGTTCTGTAGAAATATAATTGTCCATTTTTGAGGTTCTAGTGAGAGCAAACAAACCCAAGTCAAACTTAGTACCTCCATTCATGACCTCTCTCCGTTGCCACAAAGTCCTGTCCAATAACTATATAAACATCCCATAGCAATACTAGCACAGTTCCTGTGCTACTTCTCCAAGCCTGAGTGCTGAAGGATCAACTTTGTAGACCCTTCTTAGAGTACACCAATAAACATCTAAATGATATCCATGGATTTAAGCCAAGTAGGATGAAATTTTAACTTCTAGCTACTCTGGGTCATATTTCTAGGGGGGGGCAAGAAATCATAAGATGCCACTGCTTTATCTCTGGGATCAGCCTCGTGATAATTAAAATACTTCTATAAAGCAGTTGTGGTGCTACTTCATGTAGGGTGGATCCTTATTTATTCTGCTGGAGGTGCTGCATGAGCAATTATGCTGAAGGAAGCATGGGAGCTATTGTTCGTGGTACAGATATAATACTGAGAGAATATTTTAACATGTGTAAAACAGCAGCACTAACCAGGATATATCATTTCCTAGAGGGTTAGTGCCATGGTGTCCTTTCCAAGCTCAAACCTTGGCAGATACACCTCGCTGAGAAGAGCCTCTGTAATTCTGGGGGTGCATTTCCCTCACCCTGGTTGCCTCTCTCCTTCAGGCTGCAAAACTGCAATCTGACAAGTGCCAGCTGTGAGACCCTGCGGTCTGTCCTCAGTGCACAGCCATCCCTGACAGAGCTGCACGTGGGTGACAACAGGCTGGGAACTGCTGGAGTGAAGGTGCTGTGTCAAGGGATGATGAACCCCAGCTGTAAGCTGCAGAAGCTGCAGTAAGTAGTCACTGGGATTTTTTGGTCATCAGACAGGTCGTGCTTGTCTTTCCCTTGAGAGAAGGAGGAGTTTTGTTCCCAGATGTGGATTTCTTCTTGTTTTACCTGAAATTGTGTCACACTTATTCACACCAGTGGGTGTCGTGGGTTTGTAAGACTTGGGTGTCTGTTCCCATAGGCTTTGTTTAGGCCTCCTGGCAGCAGTGGCTGTAAATGCAGGACCTCTTAGACGTCCAGGAGACATCAGATTCTGCTGCCCTTGGTCTTTGTTTTATGACTGAGCGGGACCTTGGTCTATTTGCAGCCCCCATCTCGGGCTGTGAGATGGTGTTGCAATGTAGAGCTCAGCCATGTGCTCCAGGGCAGCCTGTGCAGTGGTTTAATGGAGGATTAGTGTAAAAATGGGTGGGTAATTAGTCTTGCTGGGGTCCCCTAGGATCTGGTTTAAGAATCAATGCTTCCCGCAATGAGCAGAGAGATGCTGTTAAAAACTCTTATGTTGTCTCTGTCTTTATGCATTGCCTGGTCTCAACTCATGTTGGCATCTTTTCTGCCCTGGCTAACACACACTTTGCCCACAGCTGATTTTTGCAGGTTGTGAGACATGGTAAAGACAGTTGGTTTTTTGCCTGGATTTCTTTTCTTCTTGCAGGCTGGAATATTGTGAACTCACAGCTGATATTGTGGAAGCTCTCAATGCTGCTCTGCAAAGCAAGCCCACCCTGAAGGAACTCAGCCTGAGCAACAACACTCTGGGAGATACAGCTGTAAAGCAGCTGTGCCGGGGACTGGTGGAGGCAAGCTGCAACCTAGAGTTACTACAGTAAGGAAGAGCTGGACATCTCTAATTTCAACCAGTCCTGCTGCTAGTCATACCATCCATAAGACAGAAAAAATTATTGCCAGGAATGCTTGAAATTTAGGCCAGATTTTTTGCAGGCTCAGATTTATGTAACAGGAGGCTGTACACAAATGAGTGTACAGCTTTCAGTTTTGGAAATTTTGGTACCACAGGTTAAACCAGCACTTACCAGGGGGGACTGCTCGCCAGTGTCTCAGAGCAGAGGAACAAGTACCCTCAGTGGCTTCAGTTCTTAACTTTGAATTACTAGCCAGCTGAGCATACTTATTAGAGCCCTTTTTTGCTACAAAACAGAGGTGCTGGACTTGGCCTTGTATCTGGGGTAAAGCCCTTGAAGGGCTTTAGGGTAGAAGCACAATTCATTTTATATTGCCCCTGTGGCTCAGCAGGGGTTGGCTCAGCGGGGACTCACTTTATGATACAGCCAAAAGTTCCTCTTAAAAGGGATAATCAATATTAAGTGGGAGTTTGGCAAGAATGATCCTTGCTTTAATGGTTATAAATGGGTAGGTCAGAGTAAAAATGCCCTGCAGCCTCATGAAATGCAGGAGCAGTGTGTTGCCTCACCCAGAGCCCATCTAGGGCACCTGTATCATCTCTGAGCCTTGCAGGATCTAGCAATGCCCAGCTGGGCTGTACTGGTTTGCAGCAAGGAAGCAGCACATAGACCCTTCTCAGTCTGAACTGGGCATGTTGGAGTGTATCTAATACAGCAGGTCTGGAGCAGTAACTCCAACTGTGCTTTTTCATGCAGCCTGGAGAACTGTGGCATAACCAGCGACAGCTGTCGGGATATTAGCATTGTTCTCAGTAACAAGTCATCACTGATGGATCTCTCTGTGGGGGATAACAAGATCGGGGACTCCGGACTGGCTCTGCTTTGCCAAGGACTGATGCATCCTAACTGCAAAATCCAGAAGCTGTGGTAAGGGTGGAAAGAGGTTTCTTAAATCCCTTGTGCAGCCCCCAAGCTTTCAAGGTTGTGCTGCTGGTTCGCTCCTAAGTGGAAAGCGTCTGTTACCCCTCTGGCCCAGTGAAAAAAGAATGTCTCAGCTGCAGATTAGTTCCTTCTCAAAACTGGTGGAGGACACCATGAGCAAGCAGAGCCACGCTGAAATCACTTGGATCAGATTCTGGGAAGAGTGCGAATGGAAGTTTGCGGTGGCATTGTCTTGGTTTCCTGTTATCTACTAGAACTGCATGTTCCTTTTTTTCTGCGTGTGTGTTAAAAACAGAGCTTTTGCTGCAACAATTGGAAAGTAAGGAGAAAGCTGTGTGATACGATGCATGAATGGGTTTTGTAAAGGATAGAAGAAAATGAGATGATGTAACCAGAAATTCAGAATACTAAAATAGGATTCTGTTTTCTGATCTAAGTCATTCTTGGGAGAAAATAATGGGTTTTTTCTTCCCTGCAGGTTATGGGACTGTGATCTCACAAGTGCTAGCTGTAAAGATCTCTCCAGACTCATCAGTACAAAAGAGACCCTCACAGAGATCAGTCTAATAGACAATAACCTGAGAGACTCAGGGATGGAAATGCTGTGTCAGGCGCTCAAGGATCCCAAATCTAAACTTCAGGAGCTATGGTGAGCTGCTGTCAAGTTTCACGTATCCACTGCCTTCTTTGAAGGCTTCACTGAAGAAAGATGTAAGTGAAGTAGTGCCCACCAGATTGATGCTCAGTTGCAATGGTTGTATAAACAATTTGTGCTGGTTGTTAATGAAAGGATTTATGGAGTTGAAGAGGGTTTTTATAGACTTACAAACTTAAAAGGTATTTGTATTTCTAAACTTGTAGACACTTTGAAGATCTGCCCCATAGTCCTGTTAATAGGAGACCAAACATCACTTGTAGAGCTTCTAATATATTTTATCGTGCAACAAATGTCAGCTGAGAGACTTTTGAAATTTGAAAGGCCTCATGTAATAGCAAATTGAGTGCTGTGATCAGATATCTCAGGTTCTGCACTGGATCTGATCTCTCTCACTGATCAGCGAAAAGAAGCTGTAGTGACATAAACAGTTCTCAGCATCCTATCCTGCTGACTGTGTTACCCTTTAGTCTGGGACAGTCTGGTGGCCAGGAGAGGAAATTTGTTCTTTCACTCAGAAACTGAACAAGCAACACTTGAACTTTTCTACTTTGCAAATTCAGCTCCTGCCCCAGTTGGGTTCTTGCCCTGCACTGGAGGCTTGGAAGTCAACCTCAGGAGTGCATGGTGGAGCCAGGAGTGACTGTTAGAGCAGTGTGCTTCATTTCTGATTGTCCCTGTGCTTGATGGGCAGGTGCCTTTCGTAAGTGCACACTCTGAGACAGACAGCCCACATATAAGAGTGGGAGAGGTGCTGCTTAGAAAGAACGGAGCAGATGGGGGTTGAGGGGAGTACAGTGATTATGGGAAAGCTCTGGTTTCTCTGTTCCCACTGCCTGGGCTCCTGATAAGCAAATGTAGAGAAGCAAACGGTGCCTGATACTCTCTAGATCTCCCACCTAGATCTCATGTCACTTTTGCCTTGCAGGGTTAGGGAGTGCGGGCTCACGACTGCTTGCTGCAAGGTTGTCAGCTCTGCTCTCAGCACCAACAAGCACTTGAAAGTACTGCACATGGGTGAGAACAAGTTGGGAGATGCAGGTGTTGAACTCCTCTGTGAAGGGCTGCTGCACCCCAACTGCAACATCCAGTCCTTATGGTAAGGTGCAGAAGTCATCTCTCTTGCTGCATTACCCTTCCAAGACTGTGCAGAGAGAGAGAGACAGCAATAGATGTTAGTGTGGTATTTTTTTGTTTTGTTCATTATGAAACAATTCGCGCCACAAGCTGATGTTTAAGTAGTCCAGGAGCAAGTCAGTGGAAGCCACACCTTCTTCTATGTATTCTGTCACTCACGATCTCGAAAGTACAGGCTGGCACCTGTGTGACAGTGCATTCGTAGCTGTCCACAGGTGCTGTCCCAGGTGCAGAACTGAAAGTTCACAGCACAGTGTACCTGGGACAAAGAGTGGGGAGGCTGGAGTGATCTTGCTTTGTTGTGGGAGCCATGCACTGTAGAGCTTCTGGTGCCCTTCTCTAAACTCACGTGCAGGGCCTCTCTCAGGTGGGACACTGAGATGGAGAAACTGCTGGTCGAGGTGTCATGTGCTTATTCTCATGCCTGCCAGTCTCAGTGCAAAGCCTGCCTGGATTCACCTGTTGCCCCTTATTCCCATAGTCCCTATGGGTGCAAATACAAGTACTGACCCAGCCTCACTGGTAGGAGTAGGAGGCCATCTGGAGCATCACCTCCAGCCCTGTGGTGGGCTTTGCCTTCTCCATCTGCCTGTCCCTTCCCAGGTGGGCACTGAGCTCTGGACTGTGTAATGCTCAGGGCACCTCAGTGCTTTCTCCATGCCTCTGGACAGGAGCCGGAGCTGTGCTCCGATGCCTGAGTCTTACAGTGAGTGAGTTGAGCCAAAGGGTCATGGGAGGCATAAGTAAGACTAGAAGTCTCTTCCAGAAAGATGTGTTTGCTGACCAGTTAAAGCTTCTCAACTGAGAGGTCTCAATTGCCCTTTTTGGAGAGATTGTTGCAGGTCTCAAATAGCACTCACATAGTACTAAATTTTAGAGATGATTTATGATCACTTTAAACCAAAAACATGTATCCTGGTGTTGAAGTTGGGAATATCTTCTATGGGTTCCTTCTACCCCTGTAGCCACACATTATTAAGCTTTAGGGAGGACTTCTAGGTGTTCAGCAGTCACCATGAGGGTGGTTGTCTCTGTGCTGAGACCGCGGGCCAGCCCCTGCTGATATCTGAGAGCTGTCACCTTCACAGAGATTGCTGCTCCGTGCTAGGATGTCTGTGTCTGCTGTCTGAGGGTGGGCTGGTGGTCCCTGGAGCCCTGGCTCACTGCAGTGTCCTCTCCCTGCAGGCTGGGTAACTGTGATCTGACGGCAGCCTGCTGTGCCACCCTCTCCACCGTCATGACCACCAAGCAGTGCCTTACCGAGCTGGACCTGAGCTACAACCCTCTGGAAGACGAAGGCATCAGGAAGATCTGTGAAGCCTTGAGGAATCCCAGCTGCAACGTGCAGCAGTTAATGTGAGAGATGTTTGTGGCCCTGTTGTGTTCCCCCTGGCAGGTGGTGAACTCAGAGAGCTGGGAGGCTGTGGGGAGGGGGCCGCAAGCACCGGCTCTCTGGGAATTGCACCTGAGGGCAACTAGTGACCGGGGGGGATTCAAATGCTGTCTGCATGTCCAAGTGACATGACCACAGTGCCTTGATCTGTTTTGGTCCACAGGGCCAAAGAACAAGGAGAAGGTGATGCTGGTGAGGGAGTAATAGGGCTCTGGATTGTAAAGCATGTTTTGGCTGTTGGGCCGGACTCAAACCTAGATGGGGCCCTTCCTGTTATATGATCTTCCCATACTGGCCATCTGTGCATCGTTCTCTTTCTTTAACAGGAGGATGCTCACTAAACTTTGCTTGCCTTTTTGTTTTGGTGTAGTTTGTATGACATCTTGTGGAGTGCTGAAGTGGATGATGAACTGAGAGCCTTGGAAGACTCCAAGCCTGAAGTGAAGATCATTTCATGAGTGGTGACTGCCTGCAAAACAACGTCAAAGCAACATCCTCTCCTTATTTTGAACTTTCCATACGTGAAGCTAATTAACTTAATAGAGAATTTTCTTGTACCGAAACCATTTTTGGATTCCCTGAGTGGGTGTCTGGGGAGCTGATTGATCTCCTGTGCATCTCTGGATGTACTAACTCTGAGGCTCATGAAAGCTGCAGCATCACTATCCTTGAAATAAACAATTACTGTCTTATAGAAGTGGGTCTCTAGCCTTTAGGAGCTCTTTAATCCTATAATCCCTTCTAATGAATTAGTTGGGCTTTAAAGAGAGCTCCTTTCCCAAGGCAAGAGAACTATGCACTGTATTGTTACTGCATGTTGCTTTTGATAGGTCTCTGGGGGAGGCTCTCAAAAAACCGAAATGTTTTTTAATCTAAAATGGAGTATCTCCCCTGTCTTTCCCTGAAAGAGTTATTGGAAAAGCAGTGGTGGCCAAGGCACTAGAGAAAAAAAGAAATGAGCAGCTGTTCAGCTGTGTAATGTCAAAACTGGTGTCCTTTGAAAAGTGATTTTCCTACAAAAGATGCTGTGTGCATTCCTGCTAGTATGGGAAATTATTAAATGATTGATGTGTTTGCTCTGGCAAAGAGTGGTTCTACAGGAACTTTATACTTAATTTTTCTACTTATAAAAATAAAATATATCTGTATATTTCTCCTTTAAGACCAATCTAATCTCTTCTGAATTACAAGCTTGTTTTACTTGTTTGGTTTTGGTAACTCTTTAACTGAAATATATCAGAGATCTTAGTTAAGGTAGACAACAAGCCTAGAAGACATTCCAGTTTTCAGGGAATGCTGACTGGCTTTTCATGCCCAGTCAGAGTTTTAATAAACCCTGTTCCAAGGGTAAATGCATCTGTTGCATGCCTAAAACACAAAAGAATGAACACAGCTTTAAAAATGAAGAAGGAGAACCTGGCATTGCCCTGGGGTGGCCTTGCAGGAAGAATGCCAAAAAAATCCCATTCCCCAACATCTCTTTCTGGAGTGGTCACTTGGTGTTTCATTCACTTGCAAGTCCTGCATGGGCACCCAGGTTCATAGAATATGCTGAGTTGGAAGGGACCCATCAGGATCATCGAGTCCAACTCTTAGCCCTGTGCAGGATACCCCAAGAATCACACCATGTGCCTGAGAGCATCCTCTGGGCTTTGGCTTCTGATACTCATCTATTGATCATGTAGAGGCTGTAGCTGGCTTTTTTTTGACCTAAAATACTTGAGCATTGTTTCTACAATAGCCTTCACAAACCTCAAATGGTGCCTGTGAAACAGTTTAATTGTGTCTTCAGGCAGGTATGAAGGACAGGATTTGTCTTTTCCTCAAGGCATGTCTCTTGATGCTGCCCAAAATGCTAAAAAACCACTCCTTTTTGCTTTGGTCTTCCCCATCAATAAAAACTTACCCATTCTAAGGAGCTCATTAATAGCCTTTTCAGTTCATGGTCTCTCCTGGACTTGGCATGCACAGAATTCATTTCAAGCTGGGGGAGAAGATAGGGCTGCTGAGGGGAAAGAGAAAACTAGGGGGAGCCAGGAAAATTAAGCATCTGCTTGGTTGTAAAGACAACTCTCTAAAAAGACACAGCAAATATTAGAAACAGATTTCTGAGAGTACTTGGTATGGTGGATAGAAAAGGATGTCTGAGAGGGAAGCAGAAGTGCTCCTGGGCTGCTCCCGAAGCAGTTTGTGGTCTGGCAGATTGAAGGTGAGGTGGTTTGCAGGCATATCCTCCCTTGGCCCCATCCAGTGTGCAGGATGGGCTAAGGACTGCATCATCCAAAGTCAAACCCTAGCTAAACTACCCCACAGCCAGTACTCGTGACTCGCAGGACACGCTCCCTGCAGTGTCCCCTGTGCTGGCTACCCAGGGGGGGCACTCTACCCTCACACTGCAGCACAGGGCACCATTGTGCTGCTGTCCTCTGCTGAAAGGCCTGGAAAGTGCCTCCTTCCTCCACTGTGGGCAGAGGAGCACTGGGAAGGGTCTGCTGCCATGGCCCCTCTGCAGGCATTCAGTCTCCGACTGTGTGCTCCAGCCTGGGTATAAACCCCACGCCTGGCTTGGGTCCCAGAGTGGTTCTGCATTTCTTCCAAGAACACAGACAGAATTTGGAAAGGTCTCTGCAGCACACGCCATGTGTCCAGCTGCCAGCTTCATCAAGAAAAACCACAGGAGCCATATTTTGCCACCTCATGAGCTTGGAGCATCTCGGGCCAGGCCAGCGCAGCAGAGCTCTGCAGGTCCCCCCAGGATGGGGGTTAAAAAGCAGGTATAGATCCTGGGATCCAGGAGCAAGCCACTGTAGCAAGAGACATTTGCACTCATAAAAAAGACTGAAGCAAAGATTTCTACTCCTAAAAACTCATTTGTTTTTATTCATCTATTAGTTGGTCCAACTCACTGCCCTGGCAAACCTTGTCACGTCAGTGAACTCGGGAGAGTTGAAAGACAGAGAAATTTGCTGCTTCTGCATTTTAGACGTGTGGGTTGTCACCATTTTAAGCTAAAAGTAGTAGTCGTAATTGAGTCACAAACCTTTCACGTGGACTAGACAGGAGGCTGGCAGGCAAAGCCTTGCTCATACTCAGACAACAGCTGGAGCACTTGCAGCTTCTGGGACATTGCAGTCACATTCTGGTTCTCAGTTAGGTGAAATGGTTGGATCCCTGTCGTACAGTGGTTTGTAAATAATGACTTTCTACTAGCAAGGGCTGAGTTTCACCTTGTGTAATGAAGCTTAAAGACAGAATTATACAGCCAAAATAGAAGATTAAGAAATACAAGTATGACTTCCAGTTTAAGCAAATACTAGAACCTTAAAAAACACACCCCAGAGATCTTAAATCCAGAGAAAACAGATCTGTATTTTAGATCTCAGTAACAGCAACAGTGGTTTAGAATGTGGTAAAACTTCAGTTTTCTGCTAGTAATTTAGGATTCTAAAAAGAATTTAATTTTTCACTCATCACAGCATATGATCACAAGCAGGGAGGTCACCGTGTTTCAGTTAAGGTTGCCAGAGTAGTTAAGCAAACACTGCTTACAGTTTATACCCCAAGCAAACCTCCTACTTGCTTTGGAAGATCTTCAAATCACAGCTGCCCTGGCATCCCTGACAACTCTCTTGCTGCCTGGGCTTTTTGGGAAGGAGCTCCAGCGCAGCAAGGCTCCAGGCACCAGCTTCAAATGACAGTGATGCTAACAGCAATTTCAGTGCTCCAGTTGAATCTGAAAGGGGAAATCAAGCCAGCTGTGTTTGAAGAGTTAACCACACACAGCTCCTCACTTTAAAAGCAGCACTTGCCATCTGAGTCATTCCCAAGCCTCTACTAAAACAGTCTGAAAGGGAGTTACTTCTTGCCTGAATTCCCCTTTTGCACAGAAAACAATGATTTTCAATTATAATTTCCAACACATCTTCTCCTTTCTGTGTGCTTATTTCCTCAGTCACCCCTTCCTCCCCAGCACCTCCTTTTCATTTCGTCTCTTCTACTAATGGGGAAAACACATGGGGGGAAAAAAAAAAAAAAGAAAGAAAAGAACAAAGAAACCTGAAAAACCAAACCCCACTAAGGGGGAAAGTCCCTCATAAGGTAAGAAGAGTTTTGATCTACTTTACCCATTCCCCTCCTCACAGCTGAGCACGGACATCTTGCATTTCTCCTCCTGGGGTACAGCGCCACAGCCCTCTCCTTCCTCACGTCTCCCACTTGTCTGACACACCACAAACATTGGCCCGTCAAGTGCACTCCCTGGTTGGCAAGGACTCACAAATTGACAGCTTGATGAATGTGTGAGGTAAATCTTGCATCTCTCAGCTAGAGCCAGCTGCATCCACCACGAGACGAAATGCAGCCCCCAGCAGGAGGAAGAAAGTGGGCTGGGTCAGATGACTGCACAGATGATAAGCCTTTCCAAGCTAGAGGGCAAATTGGAGGCACATGGGATGCAGAACCATGTAGCTGGGGGGATGGAAACTTTAACTGGCCAATATTCTGTCAAAGCCTATCTGGTTTGCAATTAGAGGCAGGTATGCAGTGGGAGAGGTGAATTGTTGGCAGTACCTCAAGCCCTTGAAGATGTTCCAGCAGACCCTCAGAAAGTCCCAAGACAGGCTGTGCTGCCATCAGGCTGGCACATTGCAGCCCATAATATCCTCAGAGGGAAATAAGGTACCAGCACAGCTGTCATTTGCACAGGTACCCTATAAGCAACTCATGCAAATCCTCCAGTGCTGCTCACTGTTTCCTACCTCCCTGGTAATTATCACATCCTAAGAACCACAGTGTGCCATCGGGACAGTGAATAGACTCCGTGTACCCTGCACTGCCAGCACTTCCCACCCCAATGTCTTTATGCCCCAGGTATTGCTTTTGCCTCGTTCCACACTTCACTTCCACGCTTAGTTCAGACCCTAATCATGCTTTGCAGATGGTTAAAGCAACTCTGTTTCTGAATACAGAAGTACTCTGCAGGCCCTATTGTAGTTGTCTGGGAAACGCTGCCTGCCTCCGTGACTTGTAAGTGCAGCTTAGCTAATTGAGCTCCTGGTAGCTGGGTTACATGTGTCAGCTCATCTCTCCTATGCAGTAACCACAAACCAAGCCGTGAGGCTGCACTTGGAGATAATTAGAATACAAAGCACCAAAGAGTTTTCTCCATGGTACTTCCCACAAAAAGGGAAAATAAGACTCTTTCATTTCTCTCTGACTGCAGTGGGGAGCTGCTGCTTTCTTCTCCCAGGGGATCTCTTCCCAGCTCTGTGCCACAGGATGCAAAGCAAATATAGATTAGACATGCTACGTGGCATGCAGCCATGTCTGCTAACTACAGCAGGATCAAAGATAGCTATAATCCCAACAATGTGGCTTAGATTCAGCTAATGAATTCTCTGGGGAAGAAATCTGGCCAGATTTGGATGACTTCATAAAGAGCAGATAGAGCTTCCAAGGCTGGAGAGACCAAATGGTACTGATTCGAGGCTTCTCAGGGAAATTCATCCAAGCCCAGGTGGGATAAGGAGTGAAAACCAGGTGAGGGAGAAAGGAAAGCACTGGAGGACGGCTCCTGTCTTGCTAAGCAGGGTGGTAACTTGTTTTTCTAGTACAGCAAACCAAGGTTTTACCACATCAGTGGCAGTGTGGCATGTGTATGATGATCTGCTTTTATACCATTTCTGAAGGCTTTTGTTT